GTATTACCACATGTGGTGGACATGTGCAAAAGCAAAGACATTTTGGACAAAAATACATACATGGTTAGAAAAAATGTTAAAGCTGCATATAGATTATAAAACAGAAATATTTTTGTTAGGTATAGTACCAGAAAAGTATGATAAGGGGAATTTGTATTTAATATTACATATTTTAACAGCAGCAAGAATTGCATTTGCACAGTATTGGAAAAATGAGGAAACACTGAGAGAAGAAGATGTAATTAAAAAATTATTAGACTGTGTAGAAATGGATAGACTGACATTAAAGATAAAAGAAAAAGAAGATACAGAGTATTTTTGAACATGGGACTTGTTTTATAAATGGTTGGATAATAGAGGTAGAAATTAGGAGCTGGAAAAGTATTATTATGTAAACAAATTGACCCAGACAATACACTGTTCACAAAGCACTTATAAATGAAATTGTATAAATAAACTGTTAAAAAAAAGACTTAATTTTTTCTGGTTGCTTGTTTCTAAAGTATCTTGAGTCAAGCTTTCCTATGAGAGTGTTTTGTTCAAGAAAGAGGATTATTGCAAAGGACCAAAGGACAATTACTTGATACTTGTAAGTCAGCAATTTTATATTTGAGTTAAGAATTATTGGAGGAGTGCCATCCTCCGGCTGGAGAGACTGTGTAATCTGTCAAAGATTCCAAGAATATTTCCTGAGGTCAACACAGGCTCAGATATCAATCCTTTATCTTTTATGGTAAATACAGATGCCAATACTTCATTCAGTTTATCTGCAGTCTCAGGACCTTTGTTGAATATTCTTGAATATCTACTCTTGACGGCCCAATTTCTACCTTGCCTGTTTTTTTTCATTAAATATATTAAAGGAAGCAACTGTTTTCCTTTATTATTTTTTTTGCAATAGTCTCTTCAAATACTTTTTCCGCATTCCACATTATCATGGTTACTTTTCTTTGTGCCCCATTTTGTTCTCTTTGTTAGAATTGGCATACAGTTCCTTCCATTTCTCTTTAACTTTTACAGTTTCTGAACACTGCTAGAAAAACATGCTGGTTTCTTTCCAGACTTGGTTAACATTATTTTTACTCCATGGAATGCCATCCATCAATTATCAATCATCAATCCCAAGAATCAAGCTGGCAAAATTTTCATTGTATAACACCCTGTCAATAGTGACTAAAATATGTTGTTTTAACATAGAACGGCTCAAAATTGAGAATTTTAAGCACTACAATATTAAAACTACACACAGATTTAACTGATAACCCTTAGCAATCAGCCAGATGGAAACTAATTTATGAATAATTACTTCTTGAGTATGCACTTTAATTCTGTGGCAATTTTCTTTGCAGGAAAGTTTGTTGCCTCATTGGCTTTTGTCTTTCGATAAAACATCAGTAATCTGGAAACTTCAGAAGTTCTACTTTGGTAGCTTGGATGGATACTCCATAGGCAGCTTTTCCAAACCACAACAATGCTAAAAGGATGAACAGTGCAATGTGACATGACAACTTAAATTTTAACCTTCAGTAGTAGCATTGTAAGTTGTGGAATTTTTTGCTGGTCCCCTTATGCTCCACATTCCTTATCGATGTCCACGTCTTTGAGCAGTAATAGAAACACTCCCTGCATCATTTCACAAATATTCTTAACTGACTGTTTCTATATCCCATCTATGTCTTATGTGAATCCAGTCTTTTTTGACATTGCTGTGGAGGTTTTTGCTCATGGGAAATTGATAAACATTATGTCTCTGTTATATCCAAATACCCCTGGTGACAAATATTGATTTTATGTTACATAAATTGCTATTGTGCGCTTTAAAAAGGATGACTTCAGAGTATTGAGTAAAATAAACAATCACATAAGAATGCCTCGTTTAAAAAAAAATCTATTGCCTCCTTGAGATCATAGATTTTTTTAAGATTATTCAGAATTTATATAGAACATCCAATAACAAAAAATACTTGAAACTAAAATATCAAAAGGAAACTGTGTATGTAATTGCCTTCTAACATGGAGAAAATCAATCAGGATCTAATTATACTTGCAATCTCACTACAGTGATCATGACTGGATAATATTTTACCATGCTGGAGGTGGCTGTTGAATTGATGAGACTCCCACCTTCCCTCCCCTTGCTCTCTGCTCTCCATCCGTCCATCTTTTTATCATATTGATATATTCTCATTGAGTTCTTTTTCATTGTTTATTTCATTGTTCTTTTATTTTACTTCTCTTCTATTTACACTCCTTTCATTTTCTTCCTTTTTGATATTGTAAGCTCCCTCCCTAGAGAAGCCCCATGTCGAGATAGGCAGCAAATAAATTTAACAAATAACAAATTTATCAAGAAGTATCATATTAATTCAGAATAGACAGTGGACAGCTCAACAGAACTTGTGATGTTGATTCAGTGACATCTTTCCTAGGTTGTCAGGATATAGTTAAACTCATTTTACGTACCATATGTATGTGTGCATTTGACTTCTGGTGACTGCTTGACCTAGTCTGGGGAATTTTCTTGGCAAGATTTTCAGAAGTGCTTTTCCATTATCCGTTTTAAGATATTAAAATGTCTTGTCCTCAAATGCATGGATCCAAGAGAAGGTGTATTATATGACATCTGAGGAAGAAATTCTAGCACATAACTCTTCCCTTTTGTAGCATAAAACAACTATATATTAAATAACTAGTATTTGACTGTCTAGTAATGATACAGAAAGCCAGCTACTTCATACAGGAACATTACTCAGCACTGACCCCCAATTTCTTATACTCATATATTTTTTCATTTTATACATGTTAATATTTTATCTTTAAAATATAAGCACCCTGGTATATAGCATTTCTTTTATATATACCTTAGAATGGCAATTATATGTTTGACAAAACAGAGTTTTTTGAGTATATCTTTTAAATTGTCACTGTTATGATATGATTGTAATAATCTGTTCAGTATCTCCCTTCTCGTGTACCCATATGCTTTTATATATATCTAACAATGTATTATTTATATTTAGAAGACGGTCTCTTTGTTAGTGCTTGTGATCAAGGATTATTTAAAATATTCTTATAACTCACTGTTTTCAAACTTGGCTTAAGATGTGTGAAAGTCAACCAACAGAATTGCCCAGCAGCATGAAAAACAACAAAATTGATATCATTTCCCATATGTGAAAGAAATGTTTTTAGAAAACTACAATTCTGTCTTCCAAATTAGGATTTTAATTCTCTCTGAGTCTCACTGAACTCAGCAAGACTTACCCCCAGTTACGTGGATAGGTATAAATTTGTTCTGACAAGTATTTAGCAATTTGCACTGGAGAATTCACTAGTCACAAAATTAATGTTTGATCCTTTTCTTTCATATTAATGTATTCTGGAAACAAAAGCCATGCAAGTTAGCAAATGCAGCACTATTTACTGAGAACCCAATTTCCATACCTAACATGAAATATGGAAATTGTGTTCAGTGGCTTATCTCCTAGCTTAATTAATCACTATATTGTTTCACTTCGGAAATTACATTTAATTTATATCAGAGCGGCCTTCTCTGAGAGTAATATTTTTGGATAGTTTAATTTAGAAGGAAGTCCTAATCCAAACACCTGATATGACTCTCATTTACAGATTTAAATTAAATGATTAAACTGTTATCTGAGCTTTATCTTTCTTTACATAATAAACAGACTAGCTTCATATAAACTGCTAAATCAGAGTGTGTTGTATTGTATTAACCAAGAAAATATGTATAACAAAGATAAGCCTCTTACATTCAAACATAAATTCTATTTATTCTGATAGTGCTTAACTCCTGGAAAAATGCAAAATATATTGTACTTCCCTCCAAATAAGGCATGGCATATTTACCAGTAGTTAACAATCATGCTGTACTCAATTAACTTGGATTCTCTAAACTAGTTTCAAGCAACTCTAGCAACTTTAATATATGTAGATTTCAACTCCCAGAATTCCCCAGGTGACATACTAGTTGGTGAAATCTGGGAGTTGAAGTCCACATTCTTAAAGTTGTGTTCCTACAAGATACTACACTGAAGCATGATAGTCTACTTGGTGGTTTAACATATTGCCCAAGTACAAACTCTGCAATTCTAAGCAGATTGTGAAAAAAGTGGGAATCAAAACTATAAAAACCACCTCAAAACAAATGGTGAATACAGTCTAGTTGATTAAATGCAACAGTGGAATGACTTTATTATGATTCTGGAGAAAGACACAAGAGCTTATGCGCACCTGAGAATAACCCCTAGTGGAATGACTCAATGGGACTTGCTTCTATAACATATATTTAAAAAGCTGTGAGATAGTATTCCATATCCAGTGCTCTCAGGAACTGCCTGAAATCCCCATCCTCCACAGAAAAGGGCTACTGCTTGATGAGGGGTATTTCAATTCAGCACCTCCTGAGGATAGTAAATTTGCTATGACTGCTTTAACAAAACAAAATTAAGCTAGCAGGTTGCAATATCACCCCAGAAATAAGCAATATACTAATAAATTACTTCTTCATTTGTTAAGATTATAGGAGTATAAGTCATCACGATTCAAACATTACTGATCACTGAAGTGTGGTTTGCTCCAGAATGTACTCAATGCTGTAATAAATGTGTTGTCTTTAAAGCTCCGTAAGACTTTAATCTTTGTTGGGTTTGAACAGTTCCGTTCAGTGTGAAAAACATCAAAACAGACATTCAAGGGTTCAGAGGGTTGATTTCAGAGCTTTGCCTTTGAGTGAAGTGGCTATATTCAAATGACCTATTTATCCTCAATTATTTTGCCCAATGTTAATTTAAGAGTTTTCTGAATTCACGCTGCAAACTTGACGAAAAAAACTAACCACCCAGTCTGGGTTTGCAACATAATTTGGGCCATTTCTTGAACATTTTTTCTCAGGATCCCTTTCTGCTTTTAAAAATTAAGGAGGACCCCAAAAGAGCTTTTGTTGTATTGGCTATAATTAGTGATATTTACTACCCCAGTAGTTCGATAGGATTTTAATATTGTATTATTTTCCACCAAGGCTGCCAGACATCAGAAGACAGAAGAATAACCATAGCACAAGAGAAGAGAGCACTCCACAAAGCCAGAGTGGCAAATGCTGCAACAATGGTGCCCACAAATGTCTGCCCAACATGTGGCAGAACATTTTGTGCCTCTGTAGGCCTTACCAGCCTCCTGCAGACACATCGTGGACAGCCCACAACCTGTTAGATGTCAAGGTCCACTTTGAACATGATGGACAAACATCATGATCATCATTTTTCAACATAGGCTGGCACATAATTCTGATTTGGCGGACCCCTGAGGGAAATCCCAAGGTCCTAGACCACACTAAGAAACACTGCTCTAGCCTAGCTAAATGAGTTAGCTAGTCAGGCCCACTTGTGTGGCATGCATGACAACTAAATTGCCAACCTGGCACCTCAGAGAGATAAATCTACAGAATAACAGAGTTGGAACGGACCTTGGAGATCTTCTAGTCCAACACTCTGTTTAAGCAAGAAACCCTATATATCATTTCAGGCAAATGTCTGTCCAATCTCTTCTTCAGTACCTCTATAGTGTTGGAGCACCCACAACTTTTGGAGCAAAGCTGTTCCACTGATTAATTGCTCTGTTAGGAAAGTACTCCTTAATTCTAGGTTGGTTGTCTCCTTGATTAGTTTCCATCCGTTGCTTCCTGCTTTGCCTTCAAATGATTCACAGAATAGGTTCACACGCACCCCTCTTCTTTGCTGCAGGTAGGCACAAAAGATATGTTAGGTGTCTAGCATAGCTTTAGGCCACCCGGTCCTTCCTGTTCCCATTGCCAACATGCAACAGGATGGGCCAGTGTTTCTCAACCTCAGCAGCTTTACAACTCCCAGAATTCCCCAGCCAACATGAAGAGCTGAAAAGCTGCTGAGGCTGAGGAACAACACTGTGGTAGAAGAGACTGCCCTAATACCTCTTCCCTGTGTCGAGGGACGTCTCTCTTCCTCTTTACAATTCATGGCTCGTAACTTCAACGGGAACCGGAAGCGTAACTGCAATTTCATTGAAACGCGTCGCTCTGCTCTAACCGGCAGGAGCCGCTGCCATTTATTATTTCTCGCTTTCCTCTCCCGGACCCCTCTCTGATAGGGCAGTTCTTTCGTGACGAAATCCCCCCTTTCGGCCAATGGAGTAAGACCACGGCGGTGCAGAGCTTTTGTTGCTTTGGCGGCCTCTTCTGCGTTGGCTTGTGTTTCCAGGTAGGACCCTTTTATGGGTCGGACTCAGTCAGGCTGGTTAAAAGGATTATTGGCCAATGAGTTGGAAATCGGTGGAGGCGAAGGAAGTTTTGTGGCGGGGACCGCGGACGGACGGAGTCCCCGTAGCCCGGCCGGCATTCCCGCAGGTCACCGAAAGGAGGCCCCGATGCCGAAGAGGGAGAGACGCATCTCACTTGTCCTCCTCTTCCCGTCGTGGTGAGGGAACCTGCCCGCTCGGCCGGCGGAAGTAAAGGGAGGCCGCCGCAGGGAATCTGCCGGGCGGGGGGGAGGTTGACCTGGGAGCCTCTCGCCATCTGCTCTAGGGAAAAGGCTCTTCGGTGGGGAAGACCACCGGCCGGTCCCTTCGGCTTCTGAAGCAAAGCAGCGCTGGATTACGTGTGTGACATGTCTCCAGTCATCTCCTCTAAGGATAATAGCCGGCATCGCCGGCCAGGCAACTACCAGAACGCCCTGGATGGGATGCAGAGTAAGTCTGCTCCTCTAGATTTCTATGAAGATGGCCCTGTGGACGCAGTCGGAAAAGATGACAGGGAGCCGCTGCTTCAGGAGCCACATATCCAGCCTACGGAGCCTCCCCAGGACTATAGAGCAGAGTTTGGCAATATCTTGCTCCTTCTCTTCCTGTATGTGCTGCAAGGGATTCCTTTGGGGCTTGCTGGCAGCATCCCCCTCATCTTGCAAAGCAAGAATGTCAGCTACAAGGACCAGGCTTTCTTTAGTTTTGTCTTCTGGCCTTTCAGTCTGAAGTTGCTTTGGGCTCCCTTGGTGGACGCTGTGTACTTCAGGAACTTTGGTCGCCGAAAGTCTTGGCTTGTGCCTACTCAGTACATTATAGGTCTTTTTATGATGTATTTGTCTATGCGGGTGGATTCTCTGCTTGGGGAGGCCGATGGCCAAAGCCCAGATGTGGTGGCCCTTACTGTGACCTTCTTCCTCTTTGAGTTCCTAGCAGCCACTCAAGACGTAGCTGTAGATGGCTGGGCATTGACTATGTTATCACGAGAAAATGTGGGCTACGCATCCACTTGTAATTCCGTGGGTCAGACAGCTGGCTACTTCTTGGGAAATGTCTTGTTCCTGGCTCTTGAATCACCTTCCTTCTGCAACAAGTATTTACGCTTTCAGCCACAAGCCAAAGGAATTGTTACACTTTCAGGTAAATGTTGGATACAGAATCTTATGGTTTTAAGGCTTTTATGTCCATTTCAAATTAGAAAGTTTCACATATAAATATGGTGAGAGGTTCATTTCTGAGCCTATTTATTGTATAATTTATATTGCTGCCCATCTCATGACAATATATATGAGAATTGTCTATTTTGCACAAGATCTTTTTATAGAATGATTTGAAGAACAATGTAATTCTTAGTTTTCAGTGTTTCCATATCTATCCAGCTTTAAAAATACAAAGTGTGACATCTAACACATGCTTCTGTGTTAGGATATTTACTAAGAATGTTATTTTATTAAAAAATCTGGCATGTGGCACTTCATGCCAGATGGCATTTCTTTATTTGAATAACTAGAGTATTCTGATTGGTTATATCATAGCTGAAATGTTTTCACTCATTTATGAAGCTACATCAAGCTAGTTTATCCTTGTCCAAACTTACCAATTATATCAGTGAAAAAGGCAAAACTTCCCATACATATGGCCTAGAAAAAGAAACCAAATAGCATATGTTACATTTATCCTACAGATAAAAGTCCACAAATTTTAGAGCTTTCTTAGAACTATTCTTCAGGGGAGAAGCATTATTTTCTTAAAACTAGTTGGTTCCAGTTTTTCCTGACCAATGTAATTTGTATAATGGATAACTAGGAGGTTTTTATCCAATCAGAATATATTATTTCTCCAAATTGACATTCTAGAAAACAGAAGGGTGTCTTTTCATCTTTTTGAAGCTGATAGCTGGATTGAGAAGCAAGTTTTGTTCCTTCATCCATGACACTAGTGTGCATAGACTTGTTATTCATAAAGTTTAAGTCACAGTTCTGATTAACTGATCTAACCCCCTGCCCCATACAATTCAGTATACAAGGTAGACTAGAATACTTGAGCCTGTGCTTTAGATTTTTTGAATGGGATATTAGAAATCCAAGCATGTAGTTTAGCACAAAAGTTTACTACTAATTAATTTTATTAAATATTTATTAATAATAATTTTTATTGATAAATGAGCATCCAGAGAGAAAGAAAAAAGAGTTTGGCTGAAGAAATTGGGGGAGGCACTTTTATGGTTTGTTGTTCATCAGAGCAATATAAAACAGGAGAGAATTGTTCTCATCACTTGCAGCTGATATGCCATATTTATTTTCCTTTCTGAAGATGATAAAGACTGTACATCTTACAAATGTGGGTTGATTGGACTCCGGGAAATGAAAGTAAAAAAGGCAAAGGCAAAACTTGCTCATTTACCAGGCATGATAGGGAATTTTTGAATTGCACATAGGAACAAACTGTGGCAGGACAAGGGCCAAAAGAAACTTTCCAGAAAATAGAGGAATGCCAAGTGGCAGGGAAAGAGGTAGATGAATGTGACACAAAAGCCCATGTCTCTTGGGTACAGCTTATATGCTTGTATGGTTGTTAGAACACTTTCCATGGTTTCCCTGTGGGTTTCTGGACTCTTGGGGGAATGGCAGCTGTTATAAGCCCTGAAGACAGAGGAAGAGGACACTTCAGATTGTACAAATGAAAGGATTCCTGCCTTTGTTCTAGACTTAAAGGAAGCAGTGGGAGGTGGATATTGGAAACTTCCTGCTGAGAGAGATTGAAGTAGCAATCTGTCAACTGGATACTCTTTGAAGACAATGTGTCTTTCTAGGGACACATTTGGAATGTGAAGGAAAGATGTTGAAGACTCTGATACATCCAGTAAGAAATATTTCTTTCTGTCATTCATGTGGAAACAAATGAAACAGCCAGATGCAGCACTGAAAACATGTAAGGTAGTATGAATGTTGGGTAGGAGGATGAAGAAGTTGAGGCACAGGTGATGTTTTCTTTCTCTTTTCCATTGGTGGACATGATCTAATGAGAGAGAGAGAAGACTACTGGAAGTAAACAACATACTATCCAGATGATGCCAATGGAAATGGTTTAGACTCTTAAACAATGGGAAACTTTGTCCCATCAACTTTGTCAAGTTGAGACAAGAAAAAGAGAAAATTAAAAGTGAAGATGTTTGGAAGGTGTCTTAAAAGTCTGATAATGAGGAACCATATGTAGAATGTGTAACCATCCAATAAGCACGTAAATCAGAAGGTCAGGTTACATTTCTATACAGAATATGGGAAACAAGAAGAACTAGAAATGTTATTGCTGGAAAATAATGTAGTATTAATGAAATTGAACTCGTGGTATTCAAAGATTTAATAGTATAAATTGTGGCAAGGGAAAAAGCTGGACTAATATATGTGTATGTGTGTATGACATCATCTGAAGGAAGTGGACATGTGTATTGAGATCCAGATAATTGAGCATGGAAAAATTGAAAAAAGGAGCCGGCTTTTTTACAGTTTATGAATAAATGAATGTGTGAAATCTGATGCTGATCAATAGGGAAGAACTGATTGGAAAAGTAAAAACAATAGAATTTTGGGAGTATGTAACCATGCCATTTTCCTTCAATATTATGGTAAGAAAATTTGCACCACAGTCATACACCTTAGAGTTCAAGATAGCCAATTTCAGTAAGATTAGAGAAGTAGCGGTTCCCATGGTCAGAAATTTTCATGTCCAAAGAAGCACATGTGGGGTGTGTACAACTTGAAAATAAGATACTGAAAGTATAATAGAGCACTCAGTTTCAAAAGGAGAGGGGGAAATAGGGGCAGCTTAGGAAACTTGTGGATAGCATAGGTGGCTTTTGAGTTAAGATGTATAAGGGAGGGAGGATGGGTGAATCGCCAAGGAGTGTATCAAAAGGGAACTATATCTATGCAAAGAAAGTTAAGAAAGCATAAAGTACAAAATGAGATTTAGGTTTGCAAGGAAATCAAAAGGAACAAAATAGGCTTATTTGGATCTGTCATAAGTAAAAGAAGAAAGGGGGTCCACTGTTAGAATGAGTAATAGAGAAGAGGTGGTAATGGAGCCGCCCCTTTCTTACAATTAATTTTTTAAAAGTGGTAACTCAAAATAAGAAGAAATATGGTTAAAAGCTGGCTACTAGGAATGCTTCAGTTCTCCATGACCAGAATGATGATACTTTATAGATGTCATCCCAGAGTCCTTTCGTGGTTAGTGGGTATAATGAAGAAGGGTAAGGGTTGTTTTTGTCTTTAGAAGAAAGGATCCAGCTAATTGATGTGTGAGTTTATGAGAAATCAGGGAGAAGTATTTCATTTATCTGAGAAGGGGCAATACAGTCTGAATGGGAAAGATTTGGGAAAAAAGCATTTCAAATATATTTACTTTATAATTAGCCTACTACAATCAATGGTGGGAATTTTTAACAGTTTTTAAGATTCTGTATTTATCCCAGATTAGCATTAATGATACCGTACTGAAATCCATGTTTTTGCTTCTTTAGTTTTTCCAGCTGTTTTTTACAACTCTGGAATGATGCCGATACTGGGCAAAATTGAAACAGATTGCTAAGCAGTCTGTGAGCATTTAGAAAATAATGCATTGCTTTACAGGAGTCAGCATGGGTCAGTCATGAATAAATCATTGCCAAGCTAACCCAGTCCTTTTGATAGAGGGATCAGTGATTTGACCATGGAAATGCAGTAAGTTAGGATTAGGTTAGAATTTTTCCAATTAGCCATTTTAATTAAATGATTTGTCACAATACAGTGTTTAGTGGTACACAACATGTTTGATAACTGGACAAAATGTAGTGATATATAAAACCTTTATTGTTATAGAAATAATTATATAAATACAGAATTACATAAACCTGTATGGGCACTTCTGCCAAACCACCGTACTAGATTTGCATATTTTCTTAACCCTTTAAAATCTGTCTACTTTTGATATACCTGCATCAATTTGTATACTTCCTCATTATAGTAACTGTACTGTACAACCGGTGTACGTGTTATGCTTAACAAACAAACCCATTGTAACCTCAACAGAGTGAAATTTAAATCTCTTACTTTGTAAGGAAAGAAAATAATATCAAATGTCAAGGAAAATCCAAACAAAGATAGTGATGCTATACAAGTAGATCTAGTTACTCATGGGAGTTACATTTCACATTCAACTGCAGATAATGAAACTGCTGAAATTGGAATGTTAGAAATAAGAGCCCCAGAAAATGATTGAAAAATCAACAAAAAATCACCATGCAAATAAAAAGCAAGAATAAGGATAATGTATTTTGACCACTTCAGATTTTTTGCTCATATATTATTTTATTTTGGCTATAAAATAAGGCGGGGATGAACATAAAGGAATGAATAACTAGCATTTCTGCATATTTTAAATACTCTATTTAAAAAATAATAATGACTGTAGAATAAAATGAAGAATAAAAGAATAGTATTCCTTCATTCTACTGGTGAAATGAGCAGCACCATCTCCAAATAAGGATCAAATAATGGCACATTATCTCTCTTTTTCCTCCTCAAAATTATGGGAAGTGTTATATTGCATTGTGAAGATGACCAGTCACAAAGTAACTATAGCTGTATTGCAAAGAAGGAGATAATTATGCTTCATAGAGCTCAGAGTGTACAAGATTCGTGATCCGCTCAATTTCATCTCCTGTTGTAGATGAATAGGTGACTGCTCAAGCATTTTTACATTCAGTTCTATCTGGGATATCATTATTGCAAAAGGTGTTCTAATCTCAGTGCTATTCATGATGCTTCAGAAGTTATTGACTGATGGAGAATGCTAAGTTTTCAGTGGGACCCAGCATTGTCCTGAAAGTGCAAGAAGTGTAGAATAATCTTAGTCAAAGAGATTGTATTGACAAGATCTAATCTGGTTTCTTAACTGATTTCTTAACCAGCACATTCAATTGACTCTCATCTAAGTGAATTATACCCTTGAATAAAAAAGTTTGTTAAGTGCAGGGGACTTCTGTAAGACACATGTCCATATTTGGGTGATACATTATTTTATATGGTTCAAGTTTAGTCATAGTATCTGTAAAATTTGGTATTTATTCTGTGCTTAAAATATAGTGGCTTGTCCTGTCTGGTTTTTTTAGATATGTTCCACTATAATTTCATAAGACTCAAAGAGTTTGCAGAAAAGGCTGGCATAGAAGATCATTAATGAAAAATTTGGATTATGAATATCGTTTCAGATTTCCTCTTTTTCTGGGGTGCTGTTTTTTTAATAACTACTACATTGGTTGCGCTTTTGAAAAAGGAAAACAAGACAATAGCACCATCAAAAGAAGAGACAAAAGGAATCATGGATACATACAAGCTGCTTTTCTCAATAATCAAAATGCCAGCTGTCCTTACATTTTGTGCTCTGATCTTAACAGCAAAAGTGAGTAAATAATTTGTACAGTAGTTTCCAGCTGGGAATTTGAGTCATTTTTGCAAAAGGTTATTTATCTATAGACTTATGCGTCAGTCTTATTAAATCATTATGAGTCAGATGACCACTAGACAATATGAACGCTATACAGGGAGTCTTTGAATTATGATGGCATTTGGAACTGGAATTTCTGTCACAAAGTGATGCCATGACATCACTTGGTGATGGCAATTCCTGCAGTTCTGGATCCCGTCATTAACTGAAACTTGTGATCATTAGGTGAGGCAACTTCCTGCTGGCTTCCCACAAATAAAACCGGTGGGGAAGTTGACAGGACGTTGTAAGTCCTAGACTGGCAGACAGGTAAGTGGCTTCTGCTGGATGGGGGAAGGAGCGCAAGGAAGGCAGAGTGAAGTTTAGGGAGGATATGTAAGTTTAGGGAGTGTGAGAGATTGCATGAGAGATATGAAAAAGGATGGGGAGTATGCACACAATTTGGAAAGGATGTGTGAGAGATGCATTGAGGGAATTCATAAAGTGCAGTGAGGGTCAGGAAATGTAAGGGAATGTGTGAGAGGTATGGTTGGGGGGTTGGGGGTGGTACATGAAGGTCAGGGATGGTGCACAAAGTATGGGTGAGGGAGATTTGCCCCAGCAATTTACAACCTTCCCTGACAGTTTCTCCATTAACTTTCTGCATAAGCCAGCAGGGAAGGTTGCAAATGGTGATCATAGGATCATGGGGTGTTGCAACTACTTGTAAGTGCAAACCAGATGCTAAATGCCCAGATCACAATGATTCGACAATGGTGATGCTAGGACTACCATTCGTTCAGTGCCATTGTTAGTCCAGTCACTGATAGGTGACTCATAGGTCAAGTACGGTAACCCTAACGTTGTGCCAGGTTACATTTTACACCTTACAAAGGTGTAAGCTCTAACAGGAACGTTCTAGTACAGGAGTCATGATTGCTGCGGGGAAGCATTTTTTATAATCCCAAATGGTACTTATTTTTTATTTTAAAAGAAACAAGCTTTGTAATTATTAGTTTGCATAGCAAGGAATACCTGCTTGATTTTTCTATGTTGCTGAATAGTTTTTTAAAGCATATTTTAAGAATATCTGTAGATACTGATGGGAAAACAAAGTGATTTAAAAATCATTTCTGAGTACATGTTTTGTTGTGTAATGGTAAACAGGATGTATAAGATTTTTTTGAGCCAAATCAATAGTTTTATAAATTTCACATTATTGATTTGAACCAGGGTACAAGTTTCATTTAAATCAACAGTGGTTTGCATCCCTATCAGGCTGGTGAAAAAAGCAAGACCCAAGTTATAAAATTAGTTATCAAGACAAATTTGAGAAAAGCTTAAAATTAATAATCTTAGAGAAAATTAACAAGATTTTATGTTGCAGGTTGGTTTCTCAGCAGCAGATGCTGTAACAGGTCTCAAACTGGTAGAAGAAGGTGTGCCTAAGGAACATTTAGCTCTGCTTGCTGTTCCAATGGTTCCATTGCAAATCATACTGCCCCTGATCATCAGCAAATACACAGCAGGGCCAAAGCCCTTGAATACGTTTTATAAAGCCATGCCATTCAGGTAAAATGTTGATTGATAAATATCGCACTACCTCTTTACATGGAATTATATTTTTATATTTATTAAAAGTTAGATATACACCTCAAGAACAGGAGCAGCAGGTCTGAGGCTTATGTTAATTCTTTAAGGAAATATCATTTCCCTCCAACCTTTTACTGACCAAGAAATAACATTGTGTTCACACATAGTAGCAAATCTCAACTGTACGTAATTCTGTCTTCCCTAGGAATAAGGATTGTGCGTAACTCAATTGGTTCTATGCTGGCTCGGGAATAGTAGTTGAAGTCCACACATCTTAAAATTGCAAAGTGAGAAACCCTGAACTAACCAAATAAGAATGGGTCTCACCTTGTTTTTTTTTTTATTTTATTTTTCCTATTAAAACATGTATCAGTTTTATGTTATTTGTAGAAGTGAAATTTTATTTAAGAAATGTTTTACTTGATATCAGCCAAGTGCATCTGTGTCTTCATGTTTCTCAATTCACATATGTTAAATAGCATACCAGAAGCTGACCCTTTTGTTAGTGAATTAAAGTTACCTCCCACTCATAACTTTGATCTAAAACTTGTGAAAATCAGAGTGTCATATGGCTTCTGTATATCACAGAAACAGTTTTGTTATTAATTAAAAATATTCTCATATTTTTGTTGTAGGCTTCTGTTTGGATTAGAATTTGCGCTCCTGTTTTGGTGGACTCCCAGAGTAAAGTATGAAGGAGGATTTCCAATCTATTTCTACATTATATTATTGCTGAGTTATGCCTTACATCAGGTAAGATTGCATACATGGGTAGAGTTATTAGTTCAGTTTAAGTATGATTGCTTAAAAATCCTGGATCTTTAATGAATAGATTATTGAAAGCAGTAGCAGGCTCACATGGAAACCTAAAAAATACTGGGTTGCTTTAATAAATAACAGTTGTAGTCTTCTTTAATAAATACTGCAGTTGTGGAGAATCAAAACATTTTTCAGAATAACTTTTGAGATGTATATAGCTTATACATACACATATACATGCATGCAGATGTATATCTATGTATGCGTTTACAGTATACAGTATGTATACACATGTGTAGATGCTAATTTCATTTTGATTGACTAATTGGGTGGAGATGTGTGCATTAATTGTTGAAGAGTTGTGATTCATAGCAATTTTTTGTAATATAATCATTTCATTATGCAAGGAACAATCCTGGTGGAACTTATTAACAACCAGAATCTTGCAAGGTTCTTTTAACTCAGTGGGATAGGAATGAGATGCATTGGAATCTCTTATATGTGCTCTCAGAAGCAAAAAAAAAAAAAAGGTTCTTATCCCAGTTCTAGAAGATAGAGCAGGATATTAATGTTTTGAATAAAAATAATGTCATGCCTTGGTGCTTATTGTCTTCCAGGTTACTGTATACAGCATGTATGTTGCTATAATGGCTTTCAATGCCAAAGTTAGTGACCCACTCATTGGAGGAACGTACATGACACTGCTCAACACGGTATCCAATCTGGGAGGAAACTGGCCAGCCACAGTAGCTTTGTGGCTTGTGGACCCACTTACAGTGAAGCAATGTGTTGGAATTCAAGGTCACAACTGTGGGACTTCAGCTGCTGCAGAAGTAAGTTTGGTGCAAAACAGATTCCCCATCTTAACAGTAACATGGTGATACTAGATTTCCAGACTGATTTTATAAATTTAAATTGGATTATGAGCCCCTTTAAAAACTTTTTAATAAATTGTTAGTTAGAATTTGCACCCTGCTTACTAGTGAGGTACTTCTCCTTTGTCTTACTAGATCCCATGTTTCATTGGCCCACCTAGGGTGTTTTTGCTCTGCTAATAATTCAATTGCAGCACAATGATTAAAACTATTTTCTTGAACAGTCTCTTCTACTTTGGCCGCAATCCACATTTAAAAAAAATTCTCCTTAACTGTGAACATAATAGCTGCATTTGGATAATCACAAATTGACCTGTACTCGGGATTACATGCAACCCTTGTGAACACTATGTAATTTAAACCATGCATTGCATCAGAATGGTACTGACAAACAAATTGGACACCTTGCATTGATCGTAATTTCCTGTTTAATCCAAAATTGTGATTAAATATTCCAGAAGAAGCTAACATATTAAGCCAAATTGGGCTGATATCCAAACTTCTTCAGAAGCCATGAATAATATTTTTACAGGTTAGAAAAAAATATCCTGAAAAAAGTCTGTTTGTGTGGTTGCTAAAAGTGAACACGTAAAAGTATTTGATAATGTGCCACTTAAAAGTGGCACATTATCAAAAACAATATAAAAGTATCATTTATAGGTGACTTCAGTGTGCCTGGCTGAATCATACATATGGCAGGGTGTGCCTGGCTGAATACATACAATTTTTATAGTTGCCCATCTCAGTCAATAACTCTAGGCAGCTTATGAGTCAATAAATATATTACAGTTAAAACACTAAAAACATTTACAAAAATGTTGTAAAACAATAATATACGTAGAGAGCAAAATAATAAAACCAAATACAGGTAATCCTCGATTTACAACAGTTCAGTTAGTGACCATTCAGACTTACAATTGTTGTAGCATCCCTTTGGTCACATGATCAAAATTCAGATGCTTGGCAACTGATTCAATTTATGATGATTACAACGCCCTGGGACCTCGGAAAGGCTGCTTTTCAAAGCCTGTAAAGCACTTCTGGCCATTATAAAATGTCACACTCCCTTCAATCACATGACTGCATTTCAGGCACTTAGAAACGAGCATTTATGACCAGTTGAAGTATCCTATTGTCATGTGACTGATTATTTTCTGACGGTTTTTGCAAAAACCCCCCCCCCCACATTTGGGAGAATGGATTCATTTAACTGCATGACTGCTTAATGACGGCATGATTCGGACTTACAACTGCATGATTTGCTTAGTGACTGCTATAAAAAACAGTAAAAAGAGTCCAGTCATGTAGGTACCTGGTCTTATGATCGAAAAGAATTAGGACCAAAATTCAAGCCTCAATAGTGATTGTAAATTAAGCACTATCTGTAATTAGCGAATTTTATTGAACTGATTTGTAATTATAGTATTGTTTTGTTTTTGTGTTTTGTACCATACCATGAGGAAAGCTTATGATGAAGGTGACCATTTTAGGCCATCAAGACAAAACACCTGTTCAAAAAAAAAAAATCCAAATTAAAACATCCCTAACTATTCTCACTTGCTCCACCTTCAGATTCAAAGGTGAATCTCCACCTTTGTAGTGTTCCTCTTTCTTCCCCATGTAATTGGAAATATACATATATATATATATTTTCTTACAAAGTTTTTTGAAATTAGGCCAAAGATTGTGGGTGGTCAACAAATATTCTCAGCAGCATAGTCCATTTTTAAATATTTAATGTACTTTTTAAATGATGCACATTAAAGTAATGGAAGTTACACATTCAGAAAAATGTTTAAATGTGTTACAAATGTCAAAAGCAATTTGCCTGATATACTTACCACTTGTTCCCTATCCCACCCCCCTTCCTCTCTTCTGATTTTCTGTATTACAGCTTTGCTCAAAAGAAGGTGGATCTTGTGCTATTACTCTGGATGGTTATTATGTGGAATCCATAACATGCGTAGTATTGGGATTTGCTTGGTGGTTGTTTCTTGGGCCCAGACTGAAAAGGCTTCAGGATGAGCAACCGGTGTCATGGAAATGCAGAAGAATCAGTTAATGAAAATGAAATATCACAAAAGACTGGCTAAAATTGCTATAGCTTTGTCATATAACAAGAATACAAGAGAATAAGTATACACATCTAAAACTGGTCAATTTATACATGCCAAATGACTTTACAAAAGCTAAAGTCAAGTTAAGTACTGTATGGATCAATTCTAAAGTTTGCCCTTCTTATCCAAAATTACCCTTAAAATTGTTTTCTTTTAAATTATTTTATAAAAACCTTTAAAATCAGTTACTATTCTGCTAAATTACAGTTGTTGCCTTCCTTTTATGCCCTTAAAGTTACCTTTGAAGAAAAATAAATCTGTCTTTAAAGGAACTTACAATAATTTTGATTTATAATAAACATTGAATCTACATGGTTAAAATGCTTTAGAAAGAAAAAAAAGTTTTATATATATATATGTTTTATATTGCTTACCGTAATTCTAAATAGGTCAAAACAATGAGGATAACAGATTCTATCTTTTTTTTTTTTTGCCTTGCTCCCATGAAATTTAGTTTTATAAAAAAAATAATATATTTATAATAGTGATAATATGCTTTTTTTCTTTTAAAGTTCAGATATGGTACACTACTAATAGTTTACAGCATAAATAGTCCCAAGCCACAAAGGCATATTAATTGGTTCTGAAGTTTTTCAAAATACTAGAATCGGATATAAAATTGATGACAACAGTTTGCACATGAAAAGTCAAACTTTATGAAGAATGGAACATACTTTTTTTTTTTTTTGGCGTATGGAACCCAAATAGGACTAAGCAGAATATTTAGTGCCTTCTGGAAACAAGTTATGTAAGATGGCGATCAAATATCTGTACTGTTAAATTTTAGAACATAAGTGTCATTCTTATAAAATATACCCATTTCTGCTGATGTCGGGAATCTAAGTAATTGTTTCAATGAACATTAGAGGACATTTTTTAGACTCTAATGATGTACAATATAATGTATATCATATGGAAATGGGCTCTGTATAGCATTTGATGTATTGTATACATCTTTCATATGAACATTTATTCAAAAATAAAATGGTGTCATACTTTTGACACTAGGGTGAAATATTGAAACACTCATATCAGGGATATACTGTCTCAGTTTTATTGGTTATTTCAATAAGTCAGTACTTTCTGAAATCGACATTTTTGATTCCATGTGAATCTTTATGATTTACACTGTTTTGTTTGAAGCTCTTTTCAGAGTGTGAATAAATTTTAAACCTCTTAATATTTATGTTAGAAAATATCTTTTTTAAAACACACACAGATGTGTGTTCCAATGAAATGAATAGGAAATACTTCCAAGAAAATAAAAATAGTGTTAGTTTTCAAATATATTTTAACCTTATCAACAGGGGGAAGATAACCTTTTGTGTTTGGTTGACACTTCTCTTAGAATTTGCGATAGAAATTCTGACATGCTTCTCTGAGATTCTGACAACATATTATTTAAATAATATAGATCACAAGAACAATCAAATTTGGAAACTTGAATGAAAACTCCATAGTGCTCACAATAAAGAGACTTCATTAATATTTTACAACAACCTGATTTGGATTTTCTTAAATTTGATTTATCCTTACTGCATAGATTAGCACAAATACAATAACCATAATTAATGGTTTTAATAAATATAGTGAATATGTTAGAATATGAAGGCCAGGGATAGGTGGCCGGAGATGAGACGAGAGAAAAGGAGAAATATTTAAAATAATTCTTCCCAGGATTTCCTTCTTCCAGATAAGAGTTCTGTTAAAATATTAGTTATTTCTAGGCCTTTTCAGCAGGGGGCAGGGTTTTCTTCTAGAAAAATCTATGTAACGAGGAGTATTCACCATAAATGATGAAATAGCCTTTTTATGTTTTCCTATTCTGTATTACTGTTAATACAATGTGCCAAAAAAAAATAAAGGTTATCCGTTTAAACAAAACTCTGGCAATGTAAAATAAATGATATAAATTGATAAAATTCAGAATCAATAGAAAAGTTAAGATGTTTCTAAGAATATGAGATTTGAAATATCACCTGAATTATAAAAGTTGACATTAAAAAAATTGTGCTCAAGGAGACTGTGGATGATGTTTCTCAAACAGCATTCTCCTTTCCACAACCATTAAAGTCACTTTTGAAATGCAAAAATAAATTTAAAATAATTACCATATTTTAGTCTTGATAGCCAAATCTAAATCCATGTCATGTGCCGCTAAATCAAAAAAAAACCACCCCAGCTTGTAAGATACGGCATTGGTTCCCCCTTCCTGTCCTAGGTCTTTTATATATTTTGTATATGGTTGGTTTAGATATTAGTACACAATCAGAATATGTCCCAGGTATGTCCCACACAGATACCAATTAAGCAGTTCTTTCTAAATACTGTTTTCAAGGCTTTATACAAACACAAAAACACACAAATATATTCAATTTTCAAGGGAGGCTTACTATAAGCCTCTCTTCTAAGAGTCATGGGTTAAAGCTTTTTAAATGTTACTTTTAGGAACTAATTACTGATGTGATGTACAACAGTGTCCCCGAATCTCAAATATAACCTGGGTAATATTTCTATTTTTGTTGTATGAAAATACCTAAATATACTATAGGCTATCATAAATTAAAGACATGTTTTTGTGTTTTTAACCTGAACCAATATTAAATGAGAATTAAGTATCTGTAGGCCCTAAAAGTTGAGTTTGGGAGGGGGAGGGGAGGTTTTGTGCTAGTTAATATAATTTCTGTGCAGACTCCAAATGAAATAAGTTGGTTGAGAAATATTCTGATGGTTTTTCATCAGTTTGATTAAATAAGTTTCTGAATTGGAATAAATAACATCCAACAACCCATATATCTAATAATTTCATTTTTCAGAATGAGAAAACCCTGGTAACTTTGAAAATGGAACAATTAAATATAATTACCTCATTAAAAGGAGAACATGTGATCTTAAAATTCAAAATCAGTGATTTTTAAAATAGTAGCAATCTTGTATCAAAGGTAAAACTTGTAAAGAATGATGTTGAATTTTGATGAGAATGTTATTTGGTAATTCAGGCTTAATTTTTTTATCATTTGCAACTTAATCAGCAGTCTGCCACTGTCTCTTCTGGTTTGCATTATTAAGATTTATAAAGCTAGGGTTTGGTTTGTTTGTATTAGTTACCCATGCCATGCTTTTATTCTGCCTTGATATGATGATGAACTCATTCTCTTCAAAGTTTAATCAAACATGACTTTAAAAATAGTGGGCACTATATTATTTCCCTTGGTTTTGATAGCTTAAAATAACTTGAGGGAAAACGGAATACAATCAAATCTATTTCCATATAATTTTATGAGTAGTAAATGCTTGATGAAAAAAAGCATTCTCAAATGTTTAAAAAATATTTTTAGTTATGAACAGTTTAATGATGGGTAGTAACTCTGAAAATATTTTGACTATAATACAGGATGGAAAAGTAATATAATGTATATTTTGGAAAATTGCTAATTGAGCTTTGAGGAGGTTCTTCGGTAGTGGACCATAAAATCAGAAAATGTCACTTAAAAGCACATTAAAAAAACTTTTGAACTAACTGTTAAGCACCTTGAACAAACTGCTGGCCTTTTAAGATAAAAATGGTTCACTTCAAAAATAAATTCATGATAATTTAACTAAAATGTTTACTGGATTCTTTAAAATATTTAAAGCTTTTCATTGCCTTAAATCTTATTAATAAGATTAATCTTATTAATGAGAACAGAGTACAATTTTCTTGGAGCAAGTGCTTTTATGAAAATGTCACATTACAAAGCCTTGAAAGCTCTTTTTGCTTATTTCAATAAAGCAATATCAACTTTTAATTTTTTTTGTGCATTGATATGCTAAGCAGGAAAGTTGTGCTACAAACATTGCTTTGCAACTGAAAAGCAGTGAATACTTTGCCCAGTTTCTTGATTCTGCAGTTTCTTTCCAAATACTCAATTTCCAAAGTAATTTCTGCTTCTGAAATTACTGAAAAGTTAAAAGATCACATAAAAATGTAAAATAATACCTATTTCCCCCCCAAAACTTAGAGAAACTTGAAAAAAAATGGAGAGAGGAAAGGTTCTCCTCCCCTTAGACTATTTTTTAAATATATCTATGATGTTATAATTCCAGAGATTCCCAGAGCACCATTATGAAATACTGTAGCAGCAAGAAAAAAGAGGACAGCAATTGAATACTTAAAATGCTGATTAAAATTGGAAACATTTTATTTTGTAGATCGTCTGAAAAAGAATTGTCTACCAACTTTTAGAAGATTGCTAGAGGGATGTATGGTCAGTTTTCCTCCAAGATATGGAGCAGCCTTTGAAATGTTTAAAATAATGATTGCAAATTCTTGCATCTTGTTATTTATTTTTCCCCCTCACTTGCAAAATGATAGAATACAGTGGAAGAACTCTGGAGAAGGGGACAGGTTAATTGCTGTAGGAAGAAATTGTCTTTGAGAAGAAATGTTGCATCTGAAAGATGACAACCATGTGTTATTTTAATAACAGAAAGCTGTGTTACACTAGCTCTCTGGTCTACATAGCCCTATTTATCTAACAAGGAGTCATTGTCCAGGGACTCAGGAATTTTTCATATCACCTGTTTCCTGCCCTTTTAATTGGAGATGGCAAAGATTGGACTGGGAGCCTCTATATTCCTTGTTATTCAAGACTGAGCATTAGTTTTACATTTATTGGTCATATAATTGACCAAAAGAGCCTTGGTAGTACAGTGGACTAAAGCACTGTTATTAACATCTGCTGCTTGCAATTACTGCAAGTTCAAATCTCACCAGGCTCAAGGTTGACTCAGCCCTTCCATCCTTTCAAAGGTAGGTAAAATGAGGACCCAGATTGTGGGGGCAATAAGCTGACTTTGTATAAATATACAAAAGTATGAAAGCTATTGCTTAACGCATTGTAAGCCGCCCTGAGTCTCCGGAGAAGGACGGCATATAAATTAAAGCAAAAAAACAAAACAAAACTGAAATCTACAAATGACTCCTTCGGTTGTGGGTTGCCCCCGATTCGGGCCGGTTCTATAGAACCAGTAGTAAAACTGGTGGGAGGCTCCGCCCATCGACCATGATGTCATCAGGAAGCTTCTGTAAAGCAAGTGCACATGCATGACCCCGTTGCAAACTGGTAGTAAAGGTAAATAGAACCCACCTTTTGCAACCTTCTGGCAAGGAAAGTCAATGGGGAAGACAGATTCACTTAACAATTGTGTTACTAACTTAACAACTACAGTGATTCACTGAACAAGTGGAGCAAGAAATGTCATAAAATGGGGCAAAATTCCCTTAAAGTCTCACTAAGCAACAGAAATTTTGAACTCAATTGTGGTCATAAGTTGAGGACTACCTGTACTGTATACTGTATAATACGTAGTCAATGGTTAAAGATGACTACATATTATATTTTTCACTTACCACTCCATTTTCAAATCAAAACGATTTCTAGAATGGCAAAAAGTTCCTGCTCATAAACTTTCACTCTAAACATCATGATACAGAAAGAATATAAGAAGAGAGAAGGGGAAAACAACATTTGCAGATTAAATACTAGATCTTAAATAATAAGATATTGTATACAATCATGGGAGAGACAGAATCTTTTGAAACTGATTCACATCATCTCTCTGTCTGGTCCATGGATTAAATAGTGCAGCAGTTTGGTGCAGCCTTGTTTCTATTTAAACAAATTCAGATTGTAGGGGTTATTATAATTACTGATTGAGCTCCACAACAAAGTTCTTAGGCTTCCCTACCTTGAGTCCTTTGATGATTTTGTCAAGGAGCATAAAGCTCTCATTTTCCAGAAGTATCCACGGAATCAACGTAGCCATCTTTATTTTGCCTTTATATACTGATAACAACCTCACTATGTATGTACAAAAGGGCAGAGGTTATAATGAGAAAATACTTTCATTTGTCCCCAGCAGATACTTTTGCCCTTTTCTCCAAGACATATCTTCATTTACAGACTTCTTTACTGTACTATATCATTCACAAAGTTTTAAAAACTTAATTTTTAATCTCTTCACCCTTCACCAGCAAAGTACCTCTGCGTCTCACCTCTTGAATAAGTAATACATGGGAATTTGAGGGATTCAAATTTATTTATGGCTAGAAGCGGCAACCTGGTATCCTCCAGATGTTTTGGACTACAACTCCCCTATCTTTCCTTGGGCCCTGCTGGTTGAGTTTCATAGATACAAAACACAGCCGCTTACCTGCATCAGGAAATATTAATTTATCTTAAATTTAGCAGCGGACTCATTTATAATCGGTGCTATGCAAAACACAACAGGACAGGCTTTATTAAAAACCCGCAACAACTGGATTCAGGTCTATGGTGAATTCTCAGTCCTCCAGGTCACGGTTGCCCCAAAGGTCCTTTTTGAAAAAGCAACCGGACTTTCTTCGTTTTGTTTTGTTTTGATGGAAGACGTTTCACTTCTCATCCAAGAAGCTTCTTCCGTTCTGAAGAAGGACTGAAATCTTGTAGAACCGAAGAAGCTTCTCGGATAGGAAGCGAAACGTCTTCAAGAAAGAAAGAAAAAAAAAGCCCAGTTGCCTTTTGAAAAAGCATCTTCGGGACGGCTGGATTCGGGATCACGCGCAGGAGGGCTTGTGCGGCGTGGGGCCCTCCACTCAACGGCGGAAGAAAAGCTCGATCTGCAGCTGCGACTTCAACGCAAAAGCGTCTCCAAAGGGCCTTCGGGTGCAGAGACGCAGCTCTTCCCAGCGACCAAAAAGCGGCGCTGCTGCTGCTGCTCCTGCAAGGCCCGAGGGAGCCGCGGCGTAAGGAAGCGACGGGGCCGCGACGGTTATAGGCGACCATGGCCGGGCAGCAGGGCGGAGAGCCGCCGAATTATGTGGCGCGTCTTTCCGAGTGGGCGGACGCGCATCTCACCTTCGTCCGGGTACGCGCCGGGAATCGGTTTGGGTGAAGCGGAGGGCTCGTCGTGCGTCGTTTTTGGGCTGTGCTGCGCCGCTGGCTGAGGGCGGAAGCGGGGCTGCCGGAGTCAGCTTTGCTCCGGTTCCAACTAGAGCAAAAAATGGCAGTTAATTTATAGTAGTGTCTTAGTATATATAGTAAAGGGGTAGAGCTTTCGTAGATGCAGAGTTCCCTTGCGCTTTCCCTTCGTATCCTGTAGCCTTCAACCGCCTCGGCCTTAAAATTCTATAAAGTGAGACATGTCGGAATGGCCATCAGTTCTGGGTTTAAATGACAACCACTGTGGTCTGTCAGAACCTGGTTTATCGCTCTGTGTTTTCTTCACACATCAAACGTTTTAAAGATAGAAGAAAACGGGTGTGGGTGTCTATGTGTGTTGTTTTGAATGAACGGTTTAATTGCATAGAAGAAAACTGTCCTGTGTTCCAAAATTTATTATGAATAACATAAATATAATTTCTTACCTGGAATCTTATCAGTTTTTGCGGGTTTTTAATAAAGCCTGTCCTGTTGTGTTTTGCATAGCACCGATTATAAATGAGTCCGCTGCTAAGTTTAAGATAAATTAATATTTCCTGATGCAGGTAAGCGGCTGTGTTTTGTATCTATGAAACTCAACCAGCAGGGCCCAAGGAAAGATAGGGGAGTTGCAATCCAGAACATCTGGAGGATACCGGCTTGCCACTTCTAGCCATAAATAAATTTGAATCCCTCAAATTCCCATATATAAATTACTCAACAGGTGAGACGCAGTGGTACTTTGCTGGTGAAGGGTGAAGAGATTAAAAATTAAGTTTTTAAAACTTTGTGAATGATATAGTACAGTAAAGAAGTCTGTAAATGAAGATTTGTCTTGGAGAAAAGGGCAAAGGTATCTGCTGGGGACAAATGAGGAAAGCATTGTCTCGTTATAACCTCTGCCCTTTTGTACATACATAGTGATGTTGTATTAGTATATAAAGGCAAAATAAAGATTGCTACGTTGATTCCGTGGATACATTCTAGACATAGAAGAAAACGGGTGTGTGTGTTGTTTTGAATGAACAGTTTAATAGCATAGAAGAAAACAGTCCTATGTTCCAAAGTTATTATGAATAACATAAATATAATTTCTATCTGGAAAATGTGTCTTGAGACGGCTTAAACCAAATAACGGTTCCTTGGTGCATTATGTATCCTTTCAAAGACATTCAGATAGTTCATGTTCTTTGTGGGAGAAAAGCATAAGTGTTTCTAACTGGAGGGATCTTGTTAATTGATCAGAATTGTTTTATTACGTACTGTAATTTGCAGAAGGCCCAGCTATCATTGTCAAAAAGTATGGAGGTTATAGTTGAAAAATTCTGGGAAGCATCAGATTCCTAAACTGAATTCAAGGAAGGAAATTCTATGCATCTGCTGAATTCAAGGCATGTAGACAGAAAAAAACTATGATTGCAACATTATATTTTTCAGACTTCTCAGTGTAAGAACCTTGAACATTTATAGCAATATAAATTAGGTTTATGGAAAGGTCTCAAAATTCATTGCTTGAAGAAGTCTTTCTTTATGATCAAATAACGAAGCAATGGTGATATTTACATATTTTTAAATTAGGTTGCAGAAGTTAGGAAGCTGGTGTATAAACATGAGGTAATAATAATGGCATTAACAAAATGGGTTCAATTTCTGATAACTTCAGTGTCATAGTCATGTAGTTTGCAACAGTACAGGCAGTCCTCAATTTACAACTATTCATTTAGTAACTCTGAAATTAACGGCATTGAAAAAAGTGACTTATGACCAGTCCTTGCACTTATGACCATTGTAGCATCCCCATGGTCACATGATCTAAATACAGAAGCTTAGCATCTGGTGTGTATTTATGATAGTTGCAGCACCATAGGATTATATGATTGACACTTGCAAACTTGTGAGCCAACTTCAAAGTTAGTGAGGAAAGACAGATTTGCTTAATGACTGCATGTTTCATTTAATTACAATGATTCCCCTAACATTCCTGGCAAAAAAAAGGTTATAAAACCAGACACAAGTCAGCTCTCCCCAGGCTCGAGGGTTTCTAGGGGGCAGGGTGCATTGCATTATGGGTGTGGGCATCAGTGCTGTGGAGTCGGAGTCGAGGAGTCGGAGTCGGAGGAAATTTTGGGCACCTGGAGTCGGAGTCGGAAGTACAAAAAACTGAAGAGTCGGAGTCGGAACATTTATCTCCTGACTCCACAGCCCTGACAGTGCTGTGGAGTCGGAGTCGGAGTCGGAGTCGAAGAGTCGGAGTCGGAGGAAATTTTGGGTACCTGGAGTCTGAGTCGGAGTCGGAAGTACAAAAAACTGAGGAGTCGGAGTCGGAGTTGGAACATTTATCTCCCGACTCCACAGCCCTGGTGGGCATGCACATGCGCGACTCCCCTGCGCTCCCCCCACTTTTGGCACACAATGGCAAAAAGATTAGCCATCACTGTTCTAGAGCATGAAATAACAGAAAATGTATGTTGTAGGCACACTTAAAGCAGCAGCCACTTTTCTCAGGATTACACGGCAGGTAAAGAGACATTTCCAAATTCAAAGCAGCCTTTGTACATCAGATCTTAAATATTGGTAGTCCTCAACTTACGACGACAATTGAACCCAAAATTTCTGTTGCGAAGTAAGATAATTGTTAAATGAATTTTGCTCCATTTCTTGCCACAGTTGTTAAGTGAATCACTGCAGTTGTTATGTTAGTAACAACGGTTGTTAAATGAGTCTGGCTTCCCCCATTGACTTTACTTGTCAGAAGGTCGCAAAAGGTGATCACATTACCCTAGGACACTGCAACCCTCATAAATATAACCAGTTGCCAAGCATCCAAATTTTGATCACATGATCATAGGGATGCTGCAACGGTCTTAAGTGTGAAAAATGGTCATAAGTCACTTTTTTCTGTGCCTTTGTAATTTTAAGCCATCACTAAATGAACTGTTGTAAGTTGGGGACTACCAGTACTCCTCATCTGAAATTCTTCATACTCAGAATTGTCTAGTTCCAAATTTGCAGAATCATTTCAATTCAATAAAGGATGAAAATCATAAACCTATAAAGCTTGGAGATTTTGTGACTTAGTTTTTTAAAAATTAGATACATTTGTGACTACTATTATATATTCCATTTTTAGGCAGCAGTTGGTATTAAAAATGTACATATTGTATCTTGTAGATCATATTCATAAAACAGATAAGGTGTCACACCATGAGATGGAAATACATGTTTTTGAAATAATTTATGGGTATTTTTTCCTAGAACATAAGTACTGGATTGGCAATAGCTGGAGTGATTGTACTTGCGAAGAGTATCAAATTGGTAAGTTACATTTTGTGTATAAATATATATTGAGTATATATATTTAATTTTAGGAAGCACATACTGTTGTATCCAATAAATTGGAACAATAAGTTAATGAGCATGCTGCTTGCTCATGTACAACTTGCAGCCAAGTCTTGTTTTAATGTAGCCTGTTTTGTTTCAAATAAATATCAAAAAGTTTTATTACTTATCGTTAAATGAGGACTACCTGTTTTATTTTTTCAAAGCAAGATAGAAAGCAGATTTATATTGCTTTGAGTCTTATTTGCCTTTTTTGGCAGGATTTTAAAAACTATGAACCATTATAGTATATAGGTTTTAAGGATCTCACTTTATTCATTTGGGCTCGGCGGCCATCTTCTGAAACACAAAATGTCGCTGACTGAAATAATGGCACAGAGATTTTTCATTAATGATCCTATTGGATGGGTTTTTCTAAATAAGGAACTTGCAAAATCTTTCACTAATGAATGTAAGAAAGCCCTTAAATATTTGCAGAATAATCACAACCTTAATGTATTGCTGCTGTACATATTGAACACTAAGCTTCTGTGTACTTGTGGGTCTTAATTTATAATGAAAAACTTAGTTACCATAAATATTCCCAAATTTTATTTTCTTGTTTATTTTAAAATTTCCTTGTTATTTTTTTTTAAGTTGTTTTAGACCTTGAAATGCCATAATGAGTACATTTCTTGGAATTATGTTACTCAGTTTATTTACAGACCTTCACACATTACTTTCAAGGGCTTCTATGTTGGCAAAGAGGCCTTGTAAGAGGACAAGAGAGTCATTGTACAAATAATTTAAATCCTGGTGTTCTAACCTTCATATAATAGGGGTGGGATGTTATATGAATAGGATATCCCAAGGACCAGTCTGGTAGGAAATACTAATTGTATAGCAACTCTTTTCTTCTTGTTCTTACTTCTTTTAAAGCAGGGTTTTGACTGAAGAGGCCATCTAAATTTATTTCCCTATAAAGTATGAAAACTTTCTATATTAAGTAAAATTCAGGATGATGTTTTAAAAGTTTTCTATAAAGCATGTTTTATTTGGGTATAAATTGCATCTTATTTCAAAGTGTTCATTTAGATAAAAATTGCATGTTTAAAGTGTCTTTCTTGAGACCATTGACGTTCAATCTTCATAGCACTTTATAGAGTGAGAATTAGTAATAAAAAGAGCTTTTTATAGTACAATGTATTTATACTGAAAATTTCAACCAAATTAAACTAATAATGATTTTGCAGTTATTATATGTATTCAAATATATAATATATGTTGTATAATTACATATTTAATTTTATAAAGGAATGAATATATAATACATTGATTTTTTTATCCAATTATTTTCATAAATAACTCAGAGTGAAAACATACTGAATACATCTTCCTTCTCCTATTGTCCTCAAAACAACAACCCTGTGAAGTGAGTAGGGCTGAAAGAGAATGAGTGCCCAAAGTCACCCAGCCGGTTTTCTTTCCTAAGGCAGAACTAGAACTTCCAGTCTCCTGGTTTCTAGCCTTCTGCATGAACCAAGTGACTAGACCAAATACTGTACGCCCACATTTATATTTTTATAATAGTTGTATAGGCACTGTTTATATTCTTTTTTCTTATGAATAGACAGCCAAATTCACAAATGCTTTGGAAATACCTCCGGAATTTATAGACAAGAATGTTAAGCTACGTGGACAATTACGTCGAATAACTGAACAAGGATTAGAAATTGAACATGTCCCTATTACCCTTCCAATCATTTCTTCTCTGCAGAAAAGATGTAAGTAAGATGGGTACTTTCATAGTGGCAAAGTTAAATTTTTTTTACAGGTTTGAAACATTTTTAGAGGTTTGAATTTAAGGAATTCTAAACATGAGTGAGTGGCCACCTTTAGAAAACTCATATGAAAAGCAAATGCAATCTATATTTTACCATGTACTTGTATGCAGTGGTGAAATGTAAAATTTGTTACTACCAGTTCTGTGGGCGTGGCTTGGTGGGGGGTAATGTGACTGGGTGGGCATGGCCAACTTTTTTTTTTTACTTTTGAAAGCATTTTTTTTACAACCTCTTTGGCCTAGCCCTTTGGTGTTTAAATTAAGGAGGTGTTACATAATGGGGCAGTGGAAGCTGTTCACTAAAACACTAAAACCATTGATAGAGAGTTGGATGGGAATGAAGATAGGCATGTTCATGTACTCAAGTCAATCATGAGGATGACTTGGGTACAAATGAGACAATGTATTTCAGCCTGAAATCCCACAATGACTTTACAAGTAGTTCTTGTTTAGTGACTACCTCACTTAGCAACAGTTTGCACTTATAGTAGGGATGAAAAAGTAACTTTATGACCAGTGCTTGTATTTACATTGGCAGATCTGTAAATCAAAGGAAAGCTGAAGATCATAAGCACAGTCACAATTTCACTTAGTGACCACTTCACTTAATGACCAAGTTGCCTGTCCCAATTGTGGTCAGTAGATGAGGACTACCTGTAAAAAGATAAAATGAGGGCAAACTTGATTTGAACTTCTGGAGGGGAAAAAATGAGATAAAACAGCAAGAAAAATAAGGTGTTTATTTTAGTAGGTTTTAACCCCTCCAGAGTAAAATATTATTTAGGCCTTTCTAACTTACCTTGACTCTAAAACTCAAAGTGGTTTACATGGAATCTTCTTTCATTTTATCCCTACAACAATAGCCATGTGAAATTGGTTGGGCTGGGAGAGAGCAATGGATTCAAAATCACATATAAATTCCCATGGCTACAGGCAGACTTCAACTTTGTTCAGTCGTAATCCAAACACACAACATTACGCTGCTATGCTACACCATGCTGGCTATCCTTGACTGCTACTGAAGCACCATATTCGGCTGGGTAAGAAAAAGATTAAATGCAGACCCTGGATGAGGTTAAAAAAACAACAACAACTGGAGGCAGAGATTGAGGTTCAGACTCCTTTGAATGGAGTAAATTAAAGAGTATATTCATAATCTTGGAATACTCTATTCTTTAGCTGTCACTGGAATCACTGGTGGTAGCTGTTGTGAGAAGTGCCTTTGTACAGTTATATGTGTTATGCCAACTACATCCTTTTCCCAGCCTCATCAGTTTTGACAGTGATTATTTATGCCTTGACTACATCCATGTTGACTACTGTAGAAAATAAGGAAAATGATCTTAACAGAGTTAGGCAAGATCTGCTACCAAAGCAACAAGGAAAAAATATGATTTAAATTCAAAACAAGCAGAAAGTCCAAAATAAGTGGCTCAGACAGAACTTCCCTAATTCATTGGATTGTAAGAAGGAGATGGAGGTACTGCACAAATAAACTTATACAATTCTGTTATGATAGCCCCTCCATAAAGTATCTTTAATCTTCCTTTGGAGCTGGTCTATCTGACCTATGAAAATGTCCCATGAATGAATTTTTCATGACATGGAAATATACAGAAGTTGTAGTTATGTAAAATATATCAGCTACATTGTTAAGTGGGGCATATTATGTCTACATTAAAAGAAACACTATGCTACTTGCCAGATGTTTTCTGGAGACAGTTTAAAATGCTGGTATTGACTTTTGAAGGCTTAAACGGTTTAGAGTATGAGTTTAAGGACTGTTCCTTTTGTTATGGTTGTCAAGTTGTTAAGATTAGCAGGAGAAGTCCTTTTGAAGAAGCCTTCACTGTCAGAAGCTCCGATTTCTGGGTGTGTGGGAAGGGAAAGTTGCGTTTGCTTTCTGCTTTTTCTATGTTTAGGAAATAGATAAAGATGTGGAGTGAGTCTGGGGAGGTTGCTAGATTTTTAGGCAGTGTTAATGTTTATTTTATTGTAAATTTAAAGTTCTATTATATGTTTTGTTAGCTGTGTTGAGTGCTTACCAGAGCTGAAGGGAAAGTTTTGAATCAAATAAAACCTCTTCAATGTTCTCTTGCTTCAAAAAACGAAACGTTATTTTTATCCTGCATTTTTATACTAACAGTAATTGAAGCAATATATACAAAATATGTATTTTAAAATTAATAAAAACTAATACTAAAATATAGAGCCTACATCTTTCAGATCTGCTTTGTAGATTACCTGAATCAATTTCAGTTTACAATAAATGCACATTACTTAACACTTTCTATACTCACTTGAAGTAAGTATTTATAATTACTTTCCGTCGTCATCAACACCACACTGTGAATTCAAAGCCCGTAGTGTAGCAGTTCTTTGTCATTTCTGTCATTCCATGATTTAGAAAAAGAAGACAGATGTGCAAATTATTCAGTGCACTAGTTTCTCCATGCATGGAACAGTCACTTTTGGAGTTTTTAGCTTTCTTCAATCACAGAAAATATTAACAGCTCTAACAATAAGACTTTGACTCCTAGAATCTTTCATTTAAATCTTGGAGAGCAAAATTCTAATTTACCTTCCCCTTTAATTGTTTAGATCAATGTCCTAAATGAGGTATTTTTACTAATGTTTAAATAAAACAATAATGCATGTATATCATTTTAGGGCATTCAAATGGTTTGTTGCTTGTCAGGCTTGCTGGTGTGGAGTTAACATCTGATGGGATAATCTGGTTAAAAGAAGAAATGAAACCTTCACAAATGATTTGGTTCCAGCTTTTGGGCAGAAAAGAATCAGCACTTGATTGCTTCGTAATAGTAAATAAGGTAATGTCCAGAGAGAATAGAAGAGTTCCAGGAGCGCAAACAATTAAGAGTACTTAGTGTAAAATAATTTATGATGAATTCAGTGACTTTTTCTCCCAAGTAAAAACTTACAGCAAGGTCATGCATCAATTCTGGATTCAGAAATGCTGACTGATGTTATGCAATGCCTAGACAAACATTTGGCAAACTATTGTATTGGAGGTGGAGGCAGAAGAGGTTGGTGCGTAGGGAGACTTTATTGCTGGTCTTAGCCTATGGCAGTTGCGCTCCAACATGTTAGGAGTGCAATTCCCTGGAATTTCCAACCAACACAGCCAAAAGTTGTGAATCTAGAAATAGTAGCCCCAGTGCATCCAGAAGCAAAGGTAGTTTTCAACTTACAACCACAGTTGGGATCAGAATCTCTGTTATTAATCAAAGTGTTTGTTAAGTGAGTCACACTCAATTTAGAATCTTTTTTTTTGCTACAGTTGTTTAGTGAATCACTTCAATTATTAAATGAATCACGCAGTCATTAAGCCAATCCAACTTTCTTCCTTGACTTTGCTTGTCGGAAGCCAGCTGGGAAGTTTGCAAATGGGGATCATATGATCCCAGGATTCTTCAACTGTCATATGCTGGTTGCCAAGTGCCCAAATGACAATCGTGTGACCAATAGGATATATTGAAGGTTGCAAGTGCAAGGACTAGTATAAGTCACCCTTCACTGCGGTTGTAACTTTGAATGGTCACTAAACGGTTGTAAGTCAAGGACTACCTGTATTCAGGTTGGACAGTGATGGCATTACTTAAGAAAATTTATATGGCTGCCCAAGTCACTTGAGGAATTCAGCTTTAATTTTTGTTCCTTACTGGAATGGACACAGTATGTAATACCGTAATATGTTAATTATATGTTTTATGCAAAATTTTAATGTCTTTTTTGAACAGGGGAGATTTTTCAGTATTTGTCTAAATGAAGAGATCTTGCGACGGGGGCTTGGCAAGACAGTTCGTATTGAAGGGTTGGATCATGAATCCCGGATATACTGGAAGCTTCACAAGAGGCTACTTCAAGCAGAAATGAAAGCTGTGAAAAAAAAGAAAGGAATCTGGAAAGAAGAGACATTCATTGAAAAGCTCAAAGAACACATGAGCAATTATAAATTTATCCAAAAATTAAAGCAGTTTGCAACATGGTTAAGAATCCGGCTATGAAAACAATTGCTTGGAGGACCCTAAATGGAGCAGGGAGTACATTGTGTTAGCTTCTCTGAAAATGATGTAACTAAGTTCTTAAGAAGATGAAAACATCTGATGCCTATGTCTTAAGAAAATGTACATATACAATACACATAATTATTGTTAAAAGTTTTAATCTAAGCTTTTTCATAAGGAAGAACACTCTTTAGGCTGTCTAACTCCCCCAGAGGAAAAAGCACAAAATATAACGTGAAGATAAAGTAAATATGGAATTACTGGTGATGTATTTTACAAAGATGGCATGCAACAGGGCAAAAAAAAAAAAAAAAAAAAAAAAAGCAAGGACTGATCTCCATTATTACATTTTGTGCAAAAAATTGGTCAGCTTTTTTATGATAGGGCAGCCATAATGCTGATGTTTGACCTTCTAAATGCTGAATTTGGCTTCATTTGGGAGACGGCTTTCTGGCTTCAGTTTATGACTGCAGCATTATTTAATGCTCTTGTGACAAATCGTCCAATTTAGGTTCATACTGGCACTGGTTAAAGATGATTAGCTAATAATTATGTAAATTAGCCCCATAAACATTGTGGATTTTGTGCTGTCTGTTCTAGAGGTGGTTCTTAATGGGTATCAAGATACTACCCACATTCTATAAATATCAAAGTGTAGCAATTGCAATTCTTGGTTCGTTGCTCCTATAACTATACCAGGTTTCTTTCAGAAAAGGTAGAAATTATACCAGCCAAACTATCTTATCTGTACATGGTATATTGTCTCTGTGGTCTGTGTCCGTTGGCTTTATTCCTTTGTTCTGTTCATTTCTCTTTACTTTGTGATGCTACAGGGAAGAATTAAATACAGCTGCCTGTATAATAATTTGTTTATCAAAGAGAATAGCTAATTTCAGAGAGACCAATATGTTCAAGAGTCAGTATTACTGCTTATGTTTTATAGATATTCTAACATTTTAAGGGACGAAGAAGGAAGTGACATTGAAATTATAGACTTGTGCTCAAGGCAAGTTTGTGTTGGATTTGAATGTAAAGATTAATTGACCTGATCATAAGATGTGATCACATGAATAGATTTACTTTGGTAGAACATTATGTATTACTTTGTGTTCTGAACCACTTATTTAAATGCTTAACTAGCACTTGACAACATTTTGAATGGTCTTGCCAATGTAGGTAATATATAGAGAGAATATATCTACATTGACAATTAAATCTTATAGAAATATTTTTTTTTTTGCTGATCTGTATTGTCTTAAAATTAGTTCAATACAAAGCAATATGTATTCCTTAAATATCAATATATGAAATGCAGTTCTTCAATCTATTAGTAGAAAGACGACTTTGCCTGTATTCACACTCCAAATTAAATAAAGTAGGGTTAGATAAATTTGTGTAAAATTAGACATTGTGGGTTATGAACTGTTTGATGGTTTAGTACAGTATGTAAAGTTAGCTTGTGGTTTATTCAACAAACTCTGCATAAGGGATCTGTGCTCAACTAGCTTGCTCTTGTGGTTAAAGGCACCAGGCTAGAAAATAAGAGATCGTGAGTTCTAGTCCTGTTTTAGACATGAGAGCCAGTTAGGTGACATTTTGGGCCAGTGACTCTCCAGTCACTGAGACAGAGAGAGTGACTACTTCAAGGTCACCCAGCTGGCTTTGTGCCTGGGGTGGGACTAAAACTCACAATCTCCAGTTAATCACTATACCCGAGTGGCTCTCTTGGGTATAATATGCCCAATGCGTTTTTCATTGTCTTTAGGGATAAGGTTATCTCATTCTTCTCATAGAATATGTTTAAAGTGTGTTATTCAGTTAAAAAACAGTCTTCAGATCTGAATGATGACTTAAAGAGATCTTATGAGTATTAAAAACCTGTCTTAAGAATGGAACCAGGTATTAAGATCTGTAGATTTATTTTCCAGGCCCACAGCTCTGTGAATTGCTAGCGTAACTTCCACCACGAATAAAACCTTCCTAATAATTTTAAATACAATCCTGTTGTTCTACCTGATTTAAAGCATAGCTTTTAAAAAGTGCATTTTATATTGAAGAATGACATTAAATCCTGATTTCTGTCTTCAAGATTTTATCCTGGTCATTTCATTCAGTATGATCCCACTGGCTGGTATCATAGGCTGAGAAATAGTAGCAAAATTATATCTGGGGGATAAATGAGATTCATTTGGGCATGTTGCTTTTATATTACAAATCTTTAGTAGAACAATAATGCTATAAAACTTCAGCGGGCAATTGCTTTTCTCTTTCTCTCCATTTATGAAGGGTCCAGCTCCCCAACCATGTCACTTCCAATTATCTTTGGATAAAGTTTCTTCAGCTGGAGCCCATGATGCTTTGCTTTGAAACTGCAGGCTCTTCAGCCGAATTGAATAACATCAATGGGGTGTTTCTATGGTTTCAGCCAGGCCAAAACTGGACAGTGATGAAAAGGTGAAACTTAAGCTGGTTGCTCCTAGAGGTCACCATTCCCCCATTTCAGCCTCCCTTCAAGTTGTCTGCAAAGCTAATGCATCAGATTGACAATAATTCCTTTTTGCAACCCCTAAAGAAAAGAGTGCCACTTCCAAAACCTGCACTCTTTCTTAGATGCAAGGCTGCTTTGCATATATTAAACATAAGAGCTGATGAGATCTGCCGGTTAAGAATCACTCAGATCTGACTGCAACTGAACTTCCTACTGCTGTAGCCTCAGGCGCACATAATGACTGTGCTCATTGTACTAAGGTTTAATTGGTTTGTTTAGTTTTAGTTTGGCTTGGTTTATGTGTCATAGGAACCAGTCATGAGTGATAAAACATAATCTCTATGGTTTAAAGGTGGTTCATTTAGTAACCATAGTTAATCATGATTTAGGGTCATGTGGGAACCAGACAATAGAATAGAAGTAGAGCAGAGGTGTCAAACTCAAGGCCAGGGGGCCGGATCTGGCCCGCGAGGTACTTAGATCTGGCCTGCAGGACCACCCTGGAAATAGCAAAGGACTGGCCCATGGTGCTTCTGCCAGCGAAAACGGACTCCTGAGCTCCGTTTTTGGCTGCCACTGCCTCCTGCAACCCTCTGCCAGTGGAAGCGGAGCTCTGGTGGCGCTCTGTTTTCACTGGCAGAGGGTTGCAGGAAGCTGTGGCAGCCATAAATGAATCTCGGGAGTCCTTTTTCACTGGCAGAGTGCTCGGGTCCCCACAGGCGCCCCCAGCAGGAGTGATGTTGACCTGGCCACGCCCACCCTGGCCCCTCCACCCTGGCTTCCCAAAGTCAAACACAACCCTGATGCGGCCCTCAATGAAATCAAGTTTGACACCCCTGAAGTAGAGTCCTTTTGCAGCCAGAAGACACATTTAAAATACAAACGGAAAACAATTTTCTAAGAAAAACAGAGTGACATGGTGAGATCTCTAGAAGAGACATGGCTAATAATTTTGTCCAATACTTTCTGTGATTCAGGATGTGGGATTAAAGCAAAGTCAGTGTGTTAGCCATAAGCTTGTTTGCTCCTGTTGAATTAAATAATAAAAAAAATAAAGCAAAATACTGCACGCCGACCATCTGTGATTTGCCACCAAATTTCATTATGTAATTTGGGAAACTAGGGATCACAAAAATGGGATTGGGTTTTGTGGTTTATAGGTTTCCCTCCTAGACTCCCTGGGACATCTTTCAGAGAAAATATGTCTAGCTTTGCCTTCTCTGTGGATTTAGATAAACCATTTAAGATTGCCTTATGTCGCTATTTCTCAGCCTTAGCAACTTGCTAGGGAATTCTGGGAGTTGAAGTCTACAAGTTTTACAGCTGCTGAGATTAAGAAACACTGCCTTATGCCATTGCAAATTAGAATCACCATTAAAACGTTGTTTCCAACATAATACAAGGGGAAATACTTATAGGAATATCCCATATAAACTGAAGAAACAGGCATTTTTACTTCATTTGTCATGTAAATTAATAGAGCAATTGACAAGGGCAGGTTGAAGCAGCTCTTTTCTAGCCGTGGTTATGTTTTGTTTTAAAAGAGAGCACTTTCGTCACTAAAGAGAGATCCCACGCATGTAAAGCAGCAGTTACATAAACAGTACACCCCAAACTTTCTTGCCTCTTTCTTATTGGAGGAGAATTTGAAATAGGTGAATGAAAGCAGCTTGGTTCTCCCAGCAGACTTTGAACCAGCAAACAATAGAGGCAGGTTGAATTGGACAGAGGCGAGAATAATCTGGAATTCCTGGTGCTGGATTATACCAATCCTGGGCTTCTTAAAATGAAAGTAGATAGCAGTGGCTCGGCGGCATTTTTAAAATGCATATGAAATAAGAATTTGCAGCAAGTGATATAGGACACACATCCTAGTGGATCTACACTAAAAGAGATTAGTGCTGTGCTGTGTATTCTGATTTAAAAAAACAAACAAACATTCTTTTCAGTGTGGATTGCTTTTTTCCAAAATGAATATAATACTTTAGTAACATTTTCATAAGATGGGTCCAAAGATCTGCACTTAATTTAGTGACGAGGTAGCCCAAGTGTGCATATAAAGGGTCTTGTCTTAAAGTTTTTTTCTTCTCCTTGATGTCCTGCACTTTAATTATTTAGTTATTTAAAGTAATTATAAAGCCTCTCTTCTCACAATTTGCACAATGCGCAATCAATATTAAAAATACAGTACAAAACCAAGAATAATTGAACAAAATCAAAGATAACACACACTCAAGGCTGGCAGTGAACGTATATACAAATACACCTACCACAGAATGGACTCCCCTGCATTTCGGTCCAGAGTGCTGGAGAAAAGCCAGGTTTTTGTGGTTCAGCAGAAGATTAATATGGTAAAAGGGAAACAGAAGGATTTCATTTCAGGATGGGCAGACAAACAGATTGCAAAGGAATGGAGGCTGTATAGTAATTATTTTACCCTTCTGTTCAATTGTGTTCTCTCAGACTGCTTGGAGAAGTTCCTGCAGTTTCCTTGGCAGGGTTTTTCAGAAGTGGTTTGCCATTGTTTCCTTCCTAGAGCTAAGAAAAAGTGACTGGCCCAAGGTCCCCCAGTTGGCTTTGTGCCCAAGGTGGGATTGGAACTCACAGACTCCCAGTTTCTGGTCAATGCCTTAACCACTACATCTTCTTCGCTCTCTATACCAATAATATCAGTAGCTTTATCTGTTTTACAGTATGAAAGGAGATTCAGAAATACCAACAAAGGCACTGTCAGTGGGTATGAAGTAGGAAAACAAGATTTCTTGGAGAACAGAACTTGCCAGAAACTGGAAGACAAATTTAGACACAGTATTACCTTTTAAAATGAACTGTAATAACAAGCAAACAAAACAATACAAAGATACTCTGTATGCACTGAGTAGAAGTTGCTTCTTTTTTTTTTTTTGCTTTGGTTTATTTACCTCCTGCGTTGTTCAACATGGCATTCATAGTGCCTGTGCATCTTATTCTTACAACTGAATGAGGCAAATTAAATGGAGGAATTGGTTTGAATTGCACAACAGTGTAAACTATGCATTTGTTGTTCATGGTTTATCAACTAAGTCACAGTGGCCAAGTCCACAGAGTTCATTAACCTATAATTTGAAATGTTTAAATCACAATCAATGAATTCACAGGACACACTTAGCCAAACCAAACAATCTTCGGGATGACTTAGTGAGCTGACTAAATGAATATTTGAAGCTGTCTAATTAGAGCTATTCCCTGTCTACTATTGATCCACTACATCAAACTGATTGGTTTTGAAGAATGCTGCAACCATATAATAAAGCAAAAACTATAAAGCCGTAAGATTAGTTTAAGCGAGTTCCAGAAAATGGAATGGGTTAGCAGCAGTGGTGGAATTCAAATTTTTTTACTACCACTTCTGTGGACGTGGTGTGGCGTGGTGTGGCGTGGTGGGTGTGGCAGGGGAAGGATACTGCAAAATCTCCATTCTCTCCCCACTCCTGGGGGAAGGATATTGAAAAATCTCCATTCCCACCCCACTCTGGGGCCAGCGAGAGGTGGTATTTGCTGGTTCTCTGAACTACTCAAAATTTCTGCTACCGATTCTCCAGAACCTGTCAGAACCTGCTGAATTTCACCCCTAGTTAGCAGCATTATAAAGAATTGTTAAATTGTATCACTTACATTGAAGGTCAATATGATTCTGATGTACTACTAGCTTGGACAGGACTAGAACTCACGGTCTCCTATTTTCTAGCTTGGTGTCTTAACCACTAGACTAAACTGGCTCATAAATATACATATATGTAGAAGCAATGTATAAGCATGCCAAGTAATTATACATTCATGTGAAATAATTTCTAGAGATGCCTTAAAGGAATTCGTATTAACATTACTGCAATATACTCATTAGCAAAAAGCAGAAGTAGAGTTATTGATGTCATATAGCCTTTTATGTCTCGTTTCTCCCATATATTTTTCTTTATTGGGATTAGTGGCCCAGTTAACTAGACAGCTAGTGTGGTGTAGTGTAGTGGTTAAAGGTGCTGGGCTAGGAAAACCTAGGTTCTATTCCCCATAGGCACGAGAGCCGGCTGGATCTTGAGCCAGTTATTTCTTTCCAGCCCAGGTAAGCATCAGACTGTACAACTGGCTGGCTGAAACACAACAACAAACAAACAAAATTGGTCCATCGTGTACTGATAGCTTTGCTGTGTGAATTAAATGTGTGCGGTGCAAAATAGGTGGACTTCGCAGTTGTATAGGGCAAACCCTAAGAAAAGCAATCATAATATCCCAATAAAGGGTAACCCAAAAGAGTTTTTAGGTCCCACAACAAAGGCATTAGATAAATGTTTTATTAGATGCAACCTTTCAAAATATCCCAATATTTTCATTATGCAGCCTGTTATACAGTGGTGGGTTTCTACCAGTTCTACCCGGTTCAGGCGAATTGGTAGCGGCATCAGGAGGCTCCGCCCACCCACCTGAACGTCATCACAGAAACTCTGCGCATGCACAGAAGGTTCTGCGCATGCGCAGACATGGCGCATGCAAGCAAAGCGAGTGTGCGAGCGCTCACATTTGCAAACCGGTAGCAAAGGTAAGTGAATCCCACTACTGCTGTTAT